TCAGCGTGTTGTAGTGCGACCGGGTGTGGATCACCGTGGGTTAGTGGCCTCTGGAGTGGATCAGCGTGGGTTGGTGACCCCTGGAGTGGATCAACGTGCTATAGTGCCACCAGGTATGGATCAACGTGGCTTGGTGCCACCTGGTGTGGATCAGCGTGCTGTAGCACCACCAGTTGAGGACCAGCGTGGCTTGGTGCCACTTGGCATGGATCAGCGTGGGTTGGTGCCCACTGGTGTGGATCAGCGTGGTGTTGCACCACTAGGTGTGGAACAGCCTGGCTTGGTGCTACCTGGCATGGATAAGCGTGGGTTGGTGCCCACTAGTGTAGATCAGCATGCTGTAGCGCCACCAGGTGTGGATCAGCGTGGCTTGGTGCCACGTGGCGTGGATCAGCGTGGGTTTGTGCCCACTGGTTTGGATCAGCGTGCAATAGCGCCACCAGGTGTGGATCAGCGTGGCTTGGTGCCGCTTGGCATGGATCAGCGTGCTGTAGCACCAGCACGTGTAGATCAGCTTGGTTTGGTGCCACCTGGCGTGGATCAGCGTGGGTTGGTGCCCACTGGTGTAGATCAGCGTGCTATAGCGCCACCAGGTGTGGATCAGCGTGGCTTGGTGACACCTGGCGTGGATCAGCGTGGATTGATGCCCACTAACATCGATCAGCGTGCTGTAGCACCAACAGGTGTGGATCAGCATGCTGTAGCGCCAACAGGTGTGGATCAGCGTGGCTTGGTGCCACTTGGCATGGATCAGCGTGGGATGGTGCCCACTGGTGTGGATCAGCGTGCTGTAGTGCCACCAGGTGTGGATCAGCGTGGCTTGGTGACACCTGGCATGGATCAGAGTGGGTTGGTGCCCACTGGCATGGATCAGCGTGCTATAGCGCCAACAGTTATGGATCAGCATGCTGAGGTGCCAACAGGTGTGGATCAGCGTGGCTTGGTGCCACCTGGTGTGGATCAGCGTGGCTTGGTGTCCACTGGCATAGATCAGCGTGCTGTAGCACCACCAGGTGTGGATCAGCATGGCTTGGTGGTACCTGGCGTGGATCAGCGTGGATTGGTGCCCACTGGCATGGATCAGCGTGCTATAGCGCCAACAGGTGTGGATCAGCGTGGCTTGGTGATACCTGGCGTGGATCAGCATGGATTGGTGCCCACTGGCATGGATCAGCATGCTATAGCGCCAACAGGTGTGGATCAGCGTGGCTTGGTGCCACCAGGTGTGGATCAGCGTGGATTGGTGCCCACTGGTATGGATCAGCGTGCTGTAGCACCACCAGGTGTGGATCAGCGTGGCTTGGTGATACCTGGTGTGGATCAGCGTGGGTTGGCGCCCACTGGCGTTGATCAGCATGCTGTAGCACCACCAGGTGTGGATCAGCGTGGCTTGGTGCCACCTGGCGTGGATCAGCATGGGTTGGTGCCCACAGGCATCGATCAGCGTGCTGTAGCACCAACAGGTGTAGATCAGCGTGGCTTGGTGCCACCTGGCATGGATGAGAGTGGGTTGGTGCCCACTGGTGTGGATCAGCGTGCTGAGGTGTCAACAGGTGTGTATCAGCGTGGCTTGGTGCCACCTGGCTTGGATCAGCGTGGGTTGGTGCCCACTGGCATGGATCAGCGTGCTGTAGCACCACCAGGTGTGGATCAGCGTGGCTTTTTGCCACCTGGCTTGGATCAGCGTGGGTTGGTGCCCACTGGTGTGGATCAGCATGCTGTAGCCCCATTAGCTGTGGATCAGCGTGGCTTGGTAGCAACTGGCATGGATCAGCGTGGGATGGTGCCCACTGGAGTGGATCAGCATGCTGTAGCGCTTCCAGGTGTGGATCAGCGTGGCTTGGTGCCACCTGGTGTGCATAAGCGTGCGTTGGTGCCCAGTGGCAGAGATCAGCGTGGGTTGGTGCCCACTGGTGTGGATCACCGTGCTGTAGCACCAACAGGTGATGACCAGCGTGGCTTGGTACCACCTGGCGTGGATCAGCGTAGGTTGGTGCCCACTGGCATGGATCAGCGTGCTATAGCACCAACAGGTGTGGATCAGCGTGGCTTGGTGCCACCTGGTGTGGATCAGCGTGCTGTAGCGCCAACAGGTGTGGTTCAGCGTGGATTGGTGCCACCTGGTGTGTATCAGCGTGGGTTTGTGCCTACTGGCGTGGATCAGCGTGCTGTAGTGCCACCAGGTGTGGATCAGCGTGGATTGGTGGCACCTGGCATGGATCAGCGTGGATTGGTGGCACCTGGCATGGATCAGCGTGCTGTAGCACCACCAGGTGTGGACCAGCGTGGGTTGGTGCCACCTGGCGTGGATCAGCGTGGGTTGGTGCCCAGTGGCATGGATCAGCGTGCTATAGCGCCAACAGGTGTGGATCAGCGTGCTGTAGCGCCAACAGGTGTGGTTCAGCGTGGATTGGTGCCAACTGGCGTGGATCAGCGTGGGTTTGTGCCTACTGGTGTGGGTCAGCATGCTGTAGCACCACCAGGAGTGTTTCAGCGTGGATTGGTGCCACCTGGTGTGTATCAGCGTGGATTTGTGCCCCCTGGCATGGATCAGCGTGCTATAGCACCACCAGGTGTGGATCAGCGTGGTTTGGTGCCACCTGGCATGGATCAGCGTGGCTTGGTGCCACCTGATATGGGTCAGCAAGCTATAGCACCAACAGGTGTGGATCAGCATGGTTTGGTGGCCACTGGCGTGGATCAGCGTGCTGTAGTGCCAACAGGTGTGGATCAGCGTGGCTTGGTGCCACCTGGTATGGATCAACATGCTGTAGCACCAACAGGTGTGGATCAACGTGGTTTGGTGGCCACTGGCGTGGATCAGCGTGCTGTAGTGCCAACAGGTGTGGATCAGCGTGGCTTGGTGCCACCTGGTATGGATCAACGTGCTGTAACACCAACAGGTGTGGATCAACGTGGCTTGGTGCCACCTGGTATGGATCAACGTGCTGTAGCACCAACAGGTGTGGATCAACGTGGCTTGGTGCCACCTGGCATGTATCAGCGTGCTGTTGCGCCAACAAGTGTGGATCAGCATGGCTTGATGCCACCTGGTATGGATCAGCGTGCTGTAGTGCCACCAGGTGTGGGTCAGCGTGGCTTGGTGCCACCTGGCATGGATCAGCGTGGGCTGGTGCCCACTGGTGTGGATCAGCGTGGTTTGGTTCCCACTGGTGTAGATCAGTTTGTTGTAGCACCACCAGGTGTCTATCAGCGTGGCTTGGTGTCACCTGGTGTGGATCAACGTGGGTTGGTGCCCACTAGCGTGGATCAGCGTGCTGTAGTGCCACTAGGTGTGGATCAGCGTGGGTTGGTGCCACCTGGTGTGGATCAGCGTGGGTTGGTGCCCACTAGCATGGATCAGCGTGCTGTAGGACCACCAGGTATGATTCTGCGTGGCTTGGTGCCACCTGGTGTAGATCAACGTGGGTTGGTGCCCACTGGCGTGGATCTGCATGCTGTAGCGCCAATAGGTGTGGATCAGCGTGGCTTAGTGCCACCTGGTGTGGATCAGCATGGGTTGGTTCCCACTGGCATTGATCAGCGTGCTGTAGCTCCACTAGGTGTGGATCAGCGTGCTGTTGCGCCACTAGGTGTGGATCAGCGTGGGTTGGTGCCCACTGGCGTGGATCAGCGTGCTGTAGCACCACCAGGTGTTGACCAGCGTGGGTTGGTGCCACCTGGTGTGGACCAGCGTGGGTTGGTGCCACCTGGTGTGGACCAGCGTGAGTTGGTGCCAACTGGTGTGGACCAGCGTGAGTTGGTGCCACCTGGCATGGATCAGCGTGCTGTACCACCAACAGGTGTGGATCAGCGTGGCTTGGTGCCACCTGGCATGGATCAGCGTGGGTTGGTGCCCACTGGCGTAGATCAGCGTGCTATAGCGCCAACAGGTATGGATCAGCGTGGTTTGGTGCCACCTGGTGTGGATCAGCGTGCTGTAGCGCCACCAGGTGTGGATCAGCGTGGTTTGTTGACACCTGGCGTGGATCAGCGTGGTTTGGTGCCCCCTGGTGTAGATCAGCGTGCTGTAGCGCCACCAGGTGTAGATCAGCGTGGCTTGGTGCTACCTGGCATGGATCAGCGTGGGTTGGTGCCGAGTGGTGTGGATCAGCGTGGGTTGGTGCCGAGTGGTGTGGATCAGCGTGGGTTGGTGCCGAGTGGTGTGGATCAGCGTGCTCTAATGCCAACAGGTGTGGATCAGCGTGGCTTGGTTCCACCTGGTGTGGATCAGCGTGCTATAGCGCCACAAGGTGTGGATCTGCGTGGCTTGGTGCCAGCTGGTGTAGATCAGCGTGGGTTGGTGCCCCCTGGTGTGGATCAGCATGCTGTAGCGCCAACAGGTATGGATCAGCGTGGCTTGGTGCCACCTGGCATGGATCAGCATGGGTTGGTGCCCACTGGCGTGGATCAGAGTGCTGTAGTGCCACCAGGTGTGGGTCAGCGTGGGTTGGTACCACCTGGCATGGATCAGCGTGGGTTGGTGCCCACTGGAGTGGATCAGCGTGCTGAAGCACCATCAGGTGTCTATCAGCGTGGCTTGGCACCACCTGTAGTGGATCAGCGTGGCTTGTTGTCCCCTGGCGTGGATCTACGTGCTGTAGCACCAACTGATGTGGATCAGCGTGGTTTGGTGCCGTCTGGTGTGGATCAGCGTGGCTTTGTGCCCCCTGGCATGGAAAAGCGTGCTGAAGTACAACCTGGTATGGATCAGCGTGGCTTGGTGCCACCTGGAGTGGATCAGCATGGCTTGGTGCCACCTGATGTGGATCAGCGTGGGTTGGCGCCCCCTGGCATGGATCAGCGTGCTGTAGTACCACCTGGTGTGGATCAGCGTGGCTTGATGCCACCTGATGTGGATCAGCGTGGGTTGGTGCCCTCTGGGATGGCTCAGC